AATTTTGATTACAATAGAATTAAAAATTAAAAATAACAAAATAGAAAGACCAAAATTATTGTAATATATATCTATTGGAATTTTAGTTGAAAAAATATAGATTAAATAACTAAAAATAAAGAATTTTGAAAGTCAAATATGATAACATGAAAATAATAGCTTTATTTATATAATAATTATTATTAAAAATTAAATTTGTTATTAAGAATTTACTTTATTTAATTTTTTATGTTATAAATTGCTAAAATAATTAATTGTTTTTAATTTCTTGTATAACATATGGCTTTTGAACAAAAACCTTTTAATATTGTTTTCACAATTAATTACTGAAAAAAATATTTATCATTCCTCAATTAAAACTCGGAATCTAATGTTAAATAATTAAATAATTGTTTTTATTGAAAATAGTGTTATCTTGAAATTCAATTTATTAATTTTAATTTTGAAAATTTATTTCATAATCTTACTTGTAAAAAAATCCTAAAAACTTTAAAAAATTAAATAAAACTTTATCGATGTAATTATTCATCTCTAAGCTTTACCCACCTGGAAAATTTTTTGTGGGTGTCCATGGCTGTATATCATTTGCCGTGCCATACTGTAAACATAATCCTTGCAGTATTGCAGATTATATTGCATGTAAAGAAACTGTTCATTGACAACTATATTAACTGTTTGCTGATTAGAAAATGACATATTACACATTTTATATTCTAATATGATAGTTTCTAACTTATATACTTGTGTAGGCATTGCAAAGGCATATCCAAAGAGATGGTTATGGTGCTGAATTACCTTCTTGATATCAAAACAATTAGTTTTATTACTTGAAAATAAAAATAAACATAATAGTGCATATTGAATGGCTTCAATGGCAGAAAGTAATTTTATACAAACAGAAAACAGCTGAACAGTTTAAATTGATATTTCTTGTAAGAACATGAAAGTATGGAGCACAGACTAAAGATAAATTACACATGAATTAAAAATAACTGTAATTTTGATAATTTTTAGTGAAAATAAGAAACACAATGATTTTACAGCTTTTCTACTCTTCATTTTGGAATTACATCAAGTATAAATCATACTGTAATTTGTATAATTTATAATAAATCTATCAGTACAAAATTATTAATTAGTCTATCCATTTTCCATCTTCCATTTAACAATTTTAAAAAGCTAACGAAAAAGGAATGATGTAAAAAGTTAGGTAACTAAGATAATTCTAAGGTAATTGAGTAACATTCTCCAAAAAACAACAAGGAACATGTACAGTACCTTGGTATCCTTAAATTTAACTTGAGCAATATCCACAATCTTAAAATTTTTAAAATTCTGATACACCACTGAAGCATTGTATTGTGTTTTTGTTGTTTTCAGAAATTAATTAATTAATTGGAAGTTTTGGGTTGACGTGTAATGCATTATAATTTTTCCCATTCAAAATAATGGAAAATAGGCACCCAGTTAATGTGTGCTGCAGAACATCTGATTTTCAGAAATGGATTATTGGCATTAAGCAGAGGATGCCTATATATATAAAACATATATTAATATAAATACAGCANAAGGCATATCCAAAGAGATGGTTATGGTGCTGAATTACCTTCTTGATATCAAAACAATTAGTTTTATTACTTGAAAATAAAAATAAACATAATAGTGCATATTGAATGGCTTCAATGGCAGAAAGTAATTTTATACAAACAGAAAACAGCTGAACAGTTTAAATTGATATTTCTTGTAAGAACATGAAAGTATGGAGCACAGACTAAAGATAAATTACACATGAATTAAAAATAACTGTAATTTTGATAATTTTTAGTGAAAATAAGAAACACAATGATTTTACAGCTTTTCTACTCTTCATTTTGGAATTACATCAAGTATAAATCATACTGTAATTTGTATAATTTATAATAAATCTATCAGTACAAAATTATTAATTAGTCTATCCATTTTCCATCTTCCATTTAACAATTTTAAAAAGCTAACGAAAAAGGAATGATGTAAAAAGTTAGGTAACTAAGATAATTCTAAGGTAATTGAGTAACATTCTCCAAAAAACAACAAGGAACATGTACAGTACCTTGGTATCCTTAAATTTAACTTGAGCAATATCCACAATCTTAAAATTTTTAAAATTCTGATACACCACTGAAGCATTGTATTGTGTTTTTGTTGTTTTCAGAAATTAATTAATTAATTGGAAGTTTTGGGTTGACGTGTAATGCATTATAATTTTTCCCATTCAAAATAATGGAAAATAGGCACCCAGTTAATGTGTGCTGCAGAACATCTGATTTTCAGAAATGGATTATTGGCATTAAGCAGAGGATGCCTATATATATAAAACATATATTAATATAAATACAGCATGGTCTTGGTTAACATATAAAATATATTATATTATTAGATATGTTAGTCTATAAAATAACTTAGTTAAATAATATAGGAAAATAATATTTAATAATCAATTATATGAAGCACAGATTTATTGAAATGAGAATCTTAATATAAAAATAAAAAAATATGAAATAAATATAAAATAATTTATATTTTATGAAGAATAGGAAGTATAAATTAGAATGAGATAAAATAAAATAATAGATATAAAGTACTGTAATACTGAAATAAGATTTCATAGAAACGTTGCCAAGATGCAAACAGCTAATATTTTTTGATACCCCATTTCCCCAAAAATAAGACAGTGTTTTATATTAATTTTTGCTCTCAAAGATGTGCTAGGTCTTATTTTCAGGGGATGTCTTATTTTTCCATGAAGAAGAATTCACATTTATTGTTGAACAAAAAAATTCCCAAGTCTAACTTAAACAAGAGTGACGTAAATCCAGTCGTGTCAAACTGAACTTACAAAGTTCCCGTACTGGAGTGGACTTCCCACTCTCACTTCAACTTAATCTTTTCGTAGCATTGACATTGGGCTCGATGACCAATTAGTGCTTACTGAACCGTAGCACTATGCAAATGTGATGTGGCGTGATTCCTGGATGACCAATTAACGATTACCAGCTGTAATGTTATGCAAATCATGCCGTATGGCGTGATTGTTTGCTGACCAATCAGTGGTTGTACTTTCAAAAAGCCAACGGCCTCTTTCAACCATCTGTTGATGAGCGTTACGACTAAAAAAACTTTGTTAAGTCTTACTTTCAGGGGGAGGTCTTATATTTNGCAATATCCACAATCTTAAAATTTTTAAAATTCTGATACACCACTGAAGCATTGTATTGTGTTTTTGTTGTTTTCAGAAATTAATTAATTAATTGGAAGTTTTGGGTTGACGTGTAATGCATTATAATTTTTCCCATTCAAAATAATGGAAAATAGGCACCCAGTTAATGTGTGCTGCAGAACATCTGATTTTCAGAAATGGATTATTGGCATTAAGCAGAGGATGCCTATATATATAAAACATATATTAATATAAATACAGCATGGTCTTGGTTAACATATAAAATATATTATATTATTAGATATGTTAGTCTATAAAATAACTTAGTTAAATAATATAGGAAAATAATATTTAATAATCAATTATATGAAGCACAGATTTATTGAAATGAGAATCTTAATATAAAAATAAAAAAATATGAAATAAATATAAAATAATTTATATTTTATGAAGAATAGGAAGTATAAATTAGAATGAGATAAAATAAAATAATAGATATAAAGTACTGTAATACTGAAATAAGATTTCATAGAAACGTTGCCAAGATGCAAACAGCTAATATTTTTTGATACCCCATTTCCCCAAAAATAAGACAGTGTTTTATATTAATTTTTGCTCTCAAAGATGTGCTAGGTCTTATTTTCAGGGGATGTCTTATTTTTCCATGAAGAAGAATTCACATTTATTGTTGAACAAAAAAATTCCCAAGTCTAACTTAAACAAGAGTGACGTAAATCCAGTCGTGTCAAACTGAACTTACAAAGTTCCCGTACTGGAGTGGACTTCCCACTCTCACTTCAACTTAATCTTTTCGTAGCATTGACATTGGGCTCGATGACCAATTAGTGCTTACTGAACCGTAGCACTATGCAAATGTGATGTGGCGTGATTCCTGGATGACCAATTAACGATTACCAGCTGTAATGTTATGCAAATCATGCCGTATGGCGTGATTGTTTGCTGACCAATCAGTGGTTGTACTTTCAAAAAGCCAACGGCCTCTTTCAACCATCTGTTGATGAGCGTTACGACTAAAAAAACTTTGTTAAGTCTTACTTTCAGGGGGAGGTCTTATATTTTGCAATTCAGCAAAACCTCTGCTAGGTCTTATTTTCAGGGAAACACGGTAGTTATATACATACATATATTATATATATAAACTTAAAATAATTTTTAAACTCATTCTTATTTGACTCATAAAAATTTTATAATTTTATATAAATTTTAATCCATATCACTTCAAAATTTATTCTGTATGCTGGTATGCAATTTGAATATTTTTAAATTTTCAAATTTTATTATTATTAAAAAATTTGATTTCAAGATAATTCTGTATTATAAAAAAAATTCTTTACTTAAACATATAATCTATTAAATATAACTTGTTTAAATTTATTAATTATTTGAAATTATTGTAAAAAGAATTTAAAATTTTAAATAAATTTTAAAGTTTTCAAAATAAAAGAATAATTAAAAAATAATGCATTAAATTTTAAAATATATAAATATACAATGAAACCTTATTAATATATATATTTTTTTATTGAAGTTTTTCTTCATTTCAGTTTCAGCAAATTTTATTAAACTTATACATCATATTTGTTTTAATTTACCATTGTTTTCTTTCAAATTGGAAATTAAATCAAGATTTGAAAGTATTAATACAGGTTTCATTGTATTCTATTATATTTTTAATATTAAACATATTTTATTATGAAGAAATAAATGAGTCATGCAACCTATCATAAGTATAGATTAAGAAATAGTTTATATTTCTTAAATTCAGCAATTAAATATTTGATAGCCGCCTATCCTGCTGCATATGGTCAGTTTGCTCAAGCTCTGACCCAACAGCCAACAGTTGTACCACAGACACAAAGGGAAGGTGAGGGACAAATCAAATTTTATTTAATAATATGCTGTTGTTGTATTTGATTATTGTTTACATCAGAAAAATTTTCATTTAAAATTTTCTATTTCATGTAATTTCAAAAAACATTATATCATAAATTAATTTTTTTCATAGTAATTAATTAATCAGTTGTTAAATGAAAGTTTTTTGCTTAAAATATTTATTTATATATCTTTATTATTATTTTTAGATATTGCTACTGACATCCATGTTAAATAATAAAATTAAGTTGAATGATTCTCTGTTGATAACACTCAAAATTTCAAAACATTTGTGTCAATTTAAACAGACTAAGAATTTTGATACTATTTGTAGCTATTGAAATAATAATAAATTTATAAATAAAATTTTAATCAAATTTTCCTCTTCATTTATCAGCTGATATTTCATATTTTTTCTATATAAGTAAAAGTTAATAAATAAATATATATAATGTAGCAATTGATCTGTAATTTATATATAACTGTGCCAATTGGATAAATTGATTGTGGTTAATGTAATATAATGTATACAAAAAGTTGATTAAAAAATAATATAGTTAATTCATATTTAAATATTTTTGTTTAATTCTAATTGTTATATATAAATATATAGCTTTTCAGTTAAATAAAATTCAATATTATTGATAACATTGGAAATAGTATGTTGACTTAATGATTTTAGATGATTCTANCCTGGCTGGACGATAGGAGGAAGGCCCTTCTTATCAAAGGTGAAATTGCCGCATTGACGTAATGTTGCGGCTGGTATGCCGTGGCCGGGATTAGAGGAGGTACACCACTGAATTTGTGGAATACGGAGTATGTGGTGCTATTTCGGGATTTATTGATTTTTAGATCCAAGAAGGCAATTTCATTTTCCTTTTCCTTTTCCCAGGTGAAAGTAATAGTGGGATAAGTGGTCGCTAGACGGTCTTTGAAGGCAAGGAAATTTTCATGGGTGTCCTGCCAAGCCACAAGAATGTCGTCAACATATCTAAGATATAAAAGCGGATATTTTAACGTAATGGGAAATTTAAACATTTTGAACTCTATGTTTCTCATGATCAACTCCGCCAAAACCGCTGAAAGTGGTGAACCCATCGGGACTCCCTGTTGTTGTAGATATATTTGGCCCTTGAATTGAAAATAATTATTTTCAGAAATGAAAAGTAGGGCCTCACGTAATTCTAATACTTCTTGCGCTGTAAAACCGTTCTTGATTAGCATTATCCCACTTATCCCACTATTACTTTCACCTGGGAAAAAGAAAAGGAAAATGAAATTGCCTTCTTGGATCTAAAAATAGTAATTATTTTTAATTTATTGATAATTTAATTACTAATCATAATTATTGTAAATTAAACCTCATGTATTTTAGACATCTATAACTCACAATTTGAAATAAGAATGGCTGAAAAGGGACAGGTGAAAAAATGGACAAAAAGCACATATTATTATTATTATAAAATTTAGAAGTACAGTGGGTGATTGGTTGATGAACAAATTGGATAATGAACACGTTTGCGAAAGATTCTTATGTTCAGACAATGAACACCTCACAGAACAAACACAAGAAGAAGCGACATAAAATAATGAATACTGATTGGACTTTCCTTGTCTTCAGGCAACAATTAGAAACTTTTCAGAGTGCAAGAGATGTCAACATTGACGCTCAACCCGGTATATACGGATAGGATAGTATTACTCTGAACTTTGAAACTTTCCCTTGTAGTTCCAGCCTTTTATTTTTCTGACAGAAACAATTCTTTTATAGTATTCACGAGACTGTCGGGTGGGCACTTGTTAAGTTTTGTGTCAGTTTTTATTTTCAAAAGGTGAGAGTATAATATCACAGGTGTCTGATGTCTGTTGTTGCTGGTCAGTATGGCTTGAACAGGTCTACAGTAGGCCGCAGTTCAATCTTATCTAAGATATAGTGTAATCAAGAAGACTCAAGCAGTTAAAGGAGTAACAAAAATTACATCTGAGAAATAAAGAACATTGAAGAGCTCATAATGGAACCTGAAACTGATCTGACGACAGAAGAATGCCAAGAACTCTTGAATGAAGAACACCAAGAAATTCAGCGAGATATGTTTTTTTTTTAAAAAGAGGATTAATGCCGATATCTGCTATTAAAAATCTTTTGAAGAAGTGGGAGGATGTCAGGACAATGGTCTTAGAGTGGCATCCAACCCAAGTTGAGGTTAATAGGCTTGGGGATCTCTACAGTTACAATACTATTAATTACTTCTGAAAAATCCTGAAAAAGAGAGAAAAGCAATCAACATTAGACAGATTCTTTAACCCCCACAAATGGAAAAAAAACATGATTACTAAAAATGCAAGACTGTGTATATGTATTTTTATTATTATATCTAAATAAACATAGTAAGAAAGTATATATATGTTTTATTTTTTGGGGTCTCCAGAACGAATTAATCAAATTCCCGTAAAAACTTATGGTAAATCGATAATCGGTTAACAAAAAATTCGGATAGCGAACAAAGTCTTGGAACAGATTATGTTCATTAACTGATCAGACACTGTATATATAAAATTATTTGTGCAAAGTGCAAGTAGTTTGGGTAAAGTAACACCTTTTTAGTTTTCTTAGTTTAGTTTTTTTTAAATATTCTGCAATTGAATTTACTACACACGTATAAAGTATGTCTCCAATCTTTTGAGTGATATATTGCCAGCTGATAGAAAACATTGAATACAAAAAATGTTTACCCCATACACTATTTTGATTCAACCTTGGTTTCGAGTTATGCACAAAAACTGTTTTGTAAAATATTATTTTTTGAATATCACCAGTTTCTTTTCTTCAGGATTCAATAAATCTTTTATTTAAAAATTATTAAAAATGGTAAAAAATGGAAAAATTTTTTGGTTGAAGTTCATTTAACTGTATCTTGAAAACAAAGCCCTAAACAAAAATCTCGATGAGAACATTTTTTGTTTGTGTTGAGATGAACTTCACAATGGTGCAAGAAAAACATTTTCAAGGTATAAAAGGTGGCCAACGTCACCAAACTCATCTTGAAATACAAGTTTGTTTCTTTTGAGATGTGTAATTGATTGCAATAAATCTTTGTGTACTATCAATTTGAAAATTTGATCCTGGATCCAGATTGATGGTCACAAAAATTTAAAGATGCAGTTAGGTTTCATTAGTTAAGCAGATTAATGATTAATCATCACTTTTTAATTTAGATCTTTCCAAGACCTGTACAAGATCTCACTAATAAAAAAAAAAAAAAATATGTGTTTTCTTAGCATAATGTTGTCGTTGAGAACAAATCACACAGAAACACTTTTAGTGGAAGAAGGTTGGTTTATTGGTAGGAATGGATATGCATTTCGGGCTTAACGCCCCTCTTCAGTCCTATTATAACAGATTTATCAGCATATTTACAGATTTTACAGATTATCAAATGCATTGAAATATTTAGATTTATACAATAAAAGGTTTATACAAATACTAATACAAAGATTTATACAATAAAACAAATACCTGAGATTATAGTGACAGTTAAAACAACACAACTTGTGAGAAGACAAAGGCAAAAAAAGGGGAGGAAAATGGAGTTAAAAATCTTTTAGCTCCATCCTTATATGCATCAGAACAGTATAGCAACATGTGCTAGAATAAAAAGGGGTTAAACTTAAATCTACAATTAAGTACAATTAAGAAGTGGAATTTTTATAAAATTAATAACGGAATACCTGTAGGGTGCGAAATAATTCTGATGAAGTGTACAGAAAAACATAGATAGGAGAGGTTAAAAAGATGTTAATATTCCCTATATTGTACACAGAATGTTTGGTGTGTTGACCTACACAGTGGGATATGATAGATGGAGAGAGGTAGTATGTCTTAATTAATTAATTAATGGGCTTTTCTACTTAGTTAGGAATGGTTGCCAGATGTCATTGATGACTGCACCTGTATTTAGGTTCATTCTGTATATTTTACTAGTTTTAGTAATTTCAATGTGTTCATAAAATTTTCTTTTGATAATATTTTTTTCTTTTTTAAGGATTTTGACGCTGTCGAGTGAGATCTCACAGCCAATTTGGTTGCAATGAGTGGCGAATGCTGAGTTGGTGTAATTATACTTCACTGCTCTTATATGCTCTTTTATACGGGTTTTTAATACTCTGCTAGTTTCACCTATGTAATAGTACTTTGGATGACACGTACAAGTGAAGATATAAACAAGATTATTATTTAATAAAATGTCAGTATTACTATTAGTTTGTTCTTTGGTTTTTAAGAAATTTTTGATTTTATTGTTTAGTGTGGATGCTAAAATGATATTATATGGTATTAGTATTCTTTTATTTTATTTTATATTATTAGTATTAGTAAATTATTTGTTTTTACTTCTATGCATTCAAAACTAGAACTACTTAAAATAAGTAAGACAAAACCTTTCACACTTTGTTTCTAGCAGTTTAATCACTAAGTACAAATGTTTTTGGCCATTTTGAATGGCCTTCTTCAGGTACAGTAAGGTTGGTTGGAACGTCAGTTAGCAGATATTCAAATGACGTCACTGTTTACAAAGGTTTCTTCTTACTAGTGATGTCATTGCTGATAACAAAGTTTAGACGATATTGACATCATTAAGTTTCTTTTGATATTATTGTCCAAGGTGTGCGAATGAGTATTGATAAGATAATTGCTAAAATTGGAAAATAAAAAACAAGATAAGTAAAGAAAATGCTCTAAAGATTGCGACAGGCTTAATGAGGGTGGATTGGCCTATTTTCTCATTGCTCTAGCATTAAGGATGAGCTATCCAACACATCAAACACATCGCCTTAGCCCATGATTACAATGGTAAATTAATAGATAGGCTTGCTCAAAAAATACATAGTTGCTTAGAAACAAAAGTGATTAATTCCAGACCTCTAAAACAGCAAAGTAAGCACATTGTAGTTGATTTTGACCCTAGAATGAGCCAAGCATTTAAAATCATA